ACAAATGGAAATTTGGATAGTTATGCAAGTGGCAACATGGTGGATCAAAAGTTGTATCGGTCTATGATTGGAAGCCTACTCTATGTGACCGGATCAAGGCCGGATGTCATATTTAGTGTATGCATGTGGATTTCAAGCCTCATCAAGAGAAAGTCATTTGTAGGCTATAAAGAGAATATTAAGGTACTTGAAGCATACACAAAATGTTGATTTGTGATATCCCAAAGGAGCAAAGTTTGAGCTAGTTGGTTACTCTGACTCTGATTATGCAGAATGCAAGGTTGAAAGGAAGAGCACATCGGGCACATGTCAATTGTTGGGAAGATCACTTGTTTCACGGTCATCAAAGAAACAAAATAGTGCTGCATTATCAACAGCCGAAGCTGAATACATATCTGTCGGTAGTTGTTGTACACAAATATTTTGGATGAAGGCCACCTTGGATGACTTTGGAATCAAGTTCAAAAAGGTGCCATTGCTATATGACAATGAGAGTGCAATCAGGTTGACCAACAATCTGGTTCAATATGCAAGAACAAAGCACATTGTTGTCCGCCATCATTTCATTAGAGATCACCAACAAAATGGGGACATTTGCATTGAGAGTGTATGCACCGAAGATCAACTTGCCGATATATTTACCAAGCCATTGGATGAGAAAAGGTTTTGCAAGCTAAGGAATGAGTTAAACATATTGGATTTCTCAAATATATGTTGATGCACCCCCCACTCATATGACATGCCTCCCCTTCGAGCAATCCAAGGTAAAAGTTGATTGGCATGGCATACATCCATACTAAGGACATGATTAGTGCATTTAGTCATTCCTCATGTCAAATAAAAATCAAATGAATTTGATGCTTATATGGTACCACTATTGCTTCTATGCTTGACTTGATCTAGTGGTAGCATATGACATGTTTGTGGGCTTGTGAAGCTAGTGTTTGATCTATAAAATGAGCTATAAGTGTTTAACTTAACATGGTACAAGATAGCCCTTGAAATGAGATGTGAAGATGCTTGTCCTTGGATCAAACCGAGTTAAATATCTTTGGTAAGTGTTCTAGATTAGACAAAAATTGGAAAAATGATTCTCTCCCCATTGATTGACATTGATTATCTTAACTTATTTAAAATTGAAACATTGTGGTCATTGATGACAAAGGAGAAGTAATGCACAAATATAGTGAAAAGATGACAAAGGGGGAGAACTTTGACATAAAGGGATCAATTAAAATTTTGAGCACACAAGTAGGGGAGGAAGCTCATAAACTTGATTGATGCATTTAAATATGCATTTCATATGTATGCTTGTATGGCACAAGTTTTAAATTAAAATTCTATGCTTGTGTGGTGTATGCTAGTTGTAGGTTTGAATGATGAAATAAAAAACTAGCACGCATAGATTGTGTAACTAGACTTGTGTTTATATTGTGAAAACTAGACCCTTGCTTCTAATGTTGATCTGACGCTAGGAAGCTGCGGGGAGCAGCGCGTCCGGTCAAGGCTTGGCTTTGGCGCGCGCGAAGGAGAACTGACGCGATCGGCACGTCCGGTCCTTCTGACCGCGAGTCACTAAGGCGCTAGTGTGGCAGAAGTCGACCGTTGGAATCGGGCGATCACGGTTGAACCACAGTGACACGTGGCAAGCATCCGAGGACCGAACGCAGGACTAGGTTCATCCGATCGCCCCGACCTGCGTGTCCGGTCGATGCACAGTGGGCTGCTCTGTGGGCCCAACGACTCTATTCATGGGGGCTCTCTAGTTAAGCCCCATGGCCGGCTCAAGCACACTCTCTTAGCCATTTGCATTGACATAGCAACCTTGTGAGCTTAGCCAAAGCCCTCCCACTCATCAACATCATAGATTCATCATCTTTGTGAGATTGAGAGTGAATCCAAGTGCATTGCTTTAGTGATTGCATCTAGAGGCACTTGGTGTTCGTGTTTCGCTGCGGGATTCGCTTGTTGCTCTTAGTGGTTGCCGCCACCTAGACGGCTTGGTGCAGCAAGGATCGTCGAGCGGAGGAAGGTGATTGTCTCCGGCTCTGATCATGGTGATTGTGAGGGGTTATTGACCTTTCCCCGATGGAGAGCCAAAAGGTACTCCAGTGGATTGCTCGTGGCTTGTGGATCCCCATCTTGTGTTGGTTGTGCGGCACCCGATTGCGGGTTAGGCGTGTGAGGCCTATTAGCGCGTGAACCTCCAAATAGGTGAATCGCCACAATGAGAACTAGTTTGCCGGCAACAAAGTGAACCTCGGAGAAAAATATTATGTCATCATTTGTCTCCGTTTTTTCTTGTGATTGATTGGCTCCTTTGGTGATTGGTTCATTCCTCGACACATCAGTATAATCACCTTACCCTCTCTTGCACTTACTTTTTCTAGTGTAGCTAAGACTTTTAGTGTAGCTAGTTTTGAGGGCTAGCAATTGTCGTGTCTAGTGGTTAGTGAGGCTCTTTAGTTAGTCTTTGAGAGCTCACTAACTTAGTGTAGTGGCATAGCCTTTGTGTGCTTAGAGACTATAGCAACTAGAATTGTGGTAGGTGGCTTACATTTTTAGTAGGCTAGCGCAACATTCGCTTCACCTCATAATTATCTAACCAATTTGCTTAGTGTTGTTGTAGAAAATTTTTATAGGCTATTCACCCCCCTCTAGCCATTAGGACCTTTCAAGCGCCGTCACCTGCCATTCTTCCTCTCCACTGAGCCATCCGCGCGCCGTGATGTTCTCCATTGCGCTGGTCCCCTTCTCCACCGGAGCTGCGCACCACTCCGCGGCATCGTGCTCTGTGTCGGCATCGAGCTCCGCGTCGACGAGCTTCCAATCGTCTATGCAGCAAGTAGATGTTGCGCTGGAAACACTTGTTGCAAGCGTATGTTGCAAGTGTTTCAGAGGTACGTTTCAAGTGTTTCGTATCGATGTTGTAAAAGTAGGTCGGTATGTTTCATATGTTGCAATGGTTGTACCCGTATATTGCAAGTGTCTGTTCCTAATGTTTTATTTTTTTTCAGACGTATGTTGCAAGTGTGTTTATCTGGATGTTGCATATGTTTCACACATATGTTGCAAGTGTTTTATCTAGATGTTACGTATGTTTGCAATGATTTTTAAGTGTTTTCAGGTGTTTTTGCAAGTTTTTCAGACTCATGTTTTAAGTGTGTCATGTGTCTTTAGACGTATGTTGTAAGTACTGCATCAGAATGTTTCAAAAGTAAATTGAGTATTGCATATGTTACAATGTGACCTGCCTGTTGCAGCTGCTAAAGGGGTCGTGAGGGGCCAGGCAGGCCGCAGATACTGCGTGGGGTCGAGCGGGGGCGTAAAACGCCGTGCGGGTTGGGCGGGACGCACACGCTACGTCGGGTCGTGCGGTATGTAGAATTCAAGCGCGGGAACAGGGTGCATGCACGGGCGTCGGTCCGGATCTCCTAGGGTTAGCACTGCGATCCAATATCGACTACCATCTCCGCTTGTCGTTTGCTCACGCGGTCGTTATGTGAACGAAGGTAGGACGAAACGACAAGATGCGTATAAGCACGAAACGACAAGATGACTATGCTTGTTTTCTGTGTTGACATCACCGAAGCTAACCAAACAAATCAAGTACTCGCTTTGCGTTTGTGTTTTCTTATATCGGAACCAAACACTAATATATATGCAAGTCCAAATCTTAGATGATAAATAAAAGTCTATGTTAGGCAGTATTATAGTAGGTACTGCTAATATATGTAATGCGGAAGGTGTGGTGGTTAACATAAGTTGATAATGCAAAGGGAATGTTTACGGCACGCTCGGGTGTTTCTAGGGCTTCCAGCACCCGGCATTCCGAACCCAAATAAAATCGGGTGTTTTTGATGCATGGAACACTTGATTGTCATGACCATAGGATTCACATCAAATCAAATGAACTAAACAAAACCTATAAAAATAATACAAATACATTAAATAAATAAAAAATAGTCAGATTATTTCTATGAAAGCCATATGAGAAGATTTCAAAAGAGAACCAAATAAAATATACTGAAAATAAAAAAGCAACAAAATCAGATAACTGTGGAAGTAATTATGATCATTCTAATTTACGAACAATCAATTTACATCAATTGAACATAAAACATTCCCCAAAAGAGCCATGTCATTTAACAAAACCTGCACAAATAAATTAAGCCTCCACTCACCATTTGTGCAAAAAGCCGGAGCCGCCACCGCCCTAGTCCGTCCAGTCCAGAGCGCGACGTCGCCAATCCACCACCCGCCTGCGCGTGCGCAGTCCGCCGCCAACCGCTCGCCATGTCCGCCGTCCACCGCCGGATGAGAAGAGAATGATGCATGCATTTAATTAGTGGCAGCGGAATGTGTCGTATCTGACGGCTTGCGCGGTTTGGTAGGGAAGGTTCGTTTGAGTATTGCTATTGCATCAAGCTTCTCTGCTTCTCTGTCCATGAAACGCACTTACCGTCAGAGGGAATCTAAAAAACTGGTGAGGTCAATGAAGGTGAGCTTTTACCTGGTCAGAGTAACTCAAACAAGAAGGTGAGCTTTTACCTGGTCAGAGTAACACAAAATCTAGTCCAGGACTTGCTTTGCGCATCATTCGTCAATCAATCAGAACAGTATAATATCCGGTCAGGTCAATGAAGGAGGCATGTTTGATCGGAGACTCGGACTAGCTAGAGCAGGGAAGGTTCAAAAGTGATGCCTTTATCTATTCATACCACTGTCTATACAAGCCTCCGAGGCTCCGAGCGCTCAGCATTTCTGTGTGCCAACAAGTTGTCAGGCTCGCATCACAGCAATGGCAGCTCCTCGGTTTGCGGCGGCAACAGCAGTCCTCGGCTGCCTTGTTGCTCTTGCAACACTTGCAAGCTGCAACACTGAAGGTAAACTGCATATACATATGCGAAGCTTACCCGCATATCATATTGCAGGCATCGTTACCGAGTTCAGTCTTTTTTTTTTCCTGAAACATTCATGTTTGTTGTGGCTCCTCCAAGGTGACATACTGTACAAGCAAAGGCAGGCATGGGAGGACCCAAACAATGTGCTGCAGAGCTGGGATCCGACTCTTGTCAATCCCTGCACCTGGTTCCATATCACCTGCAACAACGATAACTCTGTCATCCGTGTGTATGTTCCTCTGTCCTTTACACCCTTTAATCAGTAATTTCAGACTCTGCAAGTGCTTCAGTTCAAAATCGGAAGAGATAGTTTCCTTTCTGCTGGGAACGTATCAATCATTTCTTACTGTGCCATGCAAAGACCTATGGAATCTTGACAGATGCTATTTGTTCATTCCTTTCAAGAAATCGGAACCTACGATTCATCAACAGTGTGTCTGATGGTGTATGGTTATCTGCAAACCATGTCTAGACTGAAGTGCAAGTACCTGTTTATTGCTTTTTTTTTGCAGGGATCTAGGGAACGCAGGCATCTCAGGCCCTCTGATTCCAGATCTGGGAGGACTTGAGAACCTCCAGTACCTGTAAGAACTGCATAACTTGTTGCAATAATCACTGCAAGCATCAGAGATTAGGATTACACTCAAGAACACCGGTTTTTTCTGAAATTTGGTTTGCCAATGTTTGCAGTGAGCTGTACGACAACATCCTGAATGGTTCAATCCCAGCAACACTCGGAAATTTGTCAAATCTTGTCAGCTTGGATCTTTATAGTAACCTTCTCACTGGAGCCATACCAACTACACTTGGAGCCATCAGCACGCTGCGATACCTGTATGTGGTGTTTTTCATACAAGATATTCATATGATGTTCAAAAAATAAAACTTCTGTAAATTCTGACTATTTTTCTGAACTGACAAATGTGCCAATTTCCTTCTCTCCATCAGGAGGTTGTACGAGAACAACCTGACAGGGTCTATACCACCATCTTTGGGCAATCTGACGAGTCTTGAGAGGTTGGAGCTGCAGAAGAATGCGCTGAATGGTGCAATTCCATCATCTCTCGGGAACATCAAATCATTGCAGTTCCTGTATGTCATTAGTCCTTAAATTCAGAGATGATTTTTCCTGAATGGTCAAAATGTAAATAGTGGGCGTGGTTGAATTATTCTCGTGGGTGGTTTTGACTTTTGACTCTGCTATCTACGGTACGCGCAGGAAGTTGAACGCGAATATGCTGAGCGGCACACTTCCATTGGAAGTCCTCTCTCTTGTCATTGCTGGGAATCTGACCGAGCTGTGAGTAATCTGTCAATTTCAATACATCGTTGTCAGCTCTACATGGCTGCATTATACTACAAGATGATATTCTCTATTCTCTACTGACACAAGAAAAAAAATGTATTCATTCAGAAATATTGCAAAGAACGACTTGGCCAGCACTGTCAGATCATCAGGTTTAAGAGGTACTATATACATGAAAACTGCAGCTTTAATTGATTTACCTTTTATTCTCTTTTGTATATGCATATATAATATATGGTGAGGCTTACAAGAATTACATTTATACTGGCATTATCACAGTGACTGCAATCATCCAGGACAAGCTGAAAACTACATGATGATGAGTCCCTGGATCAGGACATCGGCTTTCTTCATGCGTATGCTGGCAATAAATAAATAAACAAATAAATCCAATGACATGGATTGATCTGGACACCTTGTAGTATGATATGGCTGCTGAATAAATTCTGTTCTTCTCGGATTTTTCCCTTTAGCACCATTAGTTAATGAGAATATATGGGGCATCTCTAGTCCAGGAAAAAATTCTCCCCAATTTTCTTTTTTATGCCTAGTCTATATATCTATGTACTTAATATTTTATAAGGACTGACATGATACCTAAAGAGTGAAGGTTGAATAGGCTATACAAAACTTTATGACAATTATTAACAATTAAAACATAAAGTGAAGCCCACACTACCTAAGCCGGCCTAGCCTGGTTTGGTAGCCTAGTGGGCTACAATGTCCAAACCCGCCCTAGCTGGGTTCGTGTACTGGCTTAGCCAGTTTCTGCTGAAAACTGGAAGAAATATATTAGAGCCTCAGTCGCCTCTTTCTCGTCAACTCATATTAACTAGGAGTGTGGCTACCTTAGGAGTATATCGATAGGTTCACACGGTCCTTGCAATCACAGACATACACACCCAAGTAGACACAAGCGGAAGCACAAATATATATGGAATGTAATAAATTCCACAATTCTACACTAGATTATCTTTTTTCCTTTTGGAGGCAAGATCGCAGCCCTCACAAACTTCATGCAACCACCCAAAACCTTGGGGGCTTGCCGGGGACACCTAGCCACACATAGGTGCCAAGCTAAGAGTAACAAATGCAATCAACCGAAATCTCGACTTGTTCAAGTGCTCATGGTGTTTGACAGCTCACACAAAGTCTCTCATGCTCTCTAATGGATCTCTCACAAAGCAAGGCTCACTCCCCGCACTTAGGATTTTCACTTCTCTAAAGTCTAAACACTTCCACCCACAAAGGGAGGTTTGGGAGTAGCCAAGGGCTTCTAGTTGTGGTGATCTAGTAGAGAGCATTGGCAGCCAACACAAGGGGAGAGGGACAGCTATTTATAGGTTTTCCCACTTAAACTAGTCACAGAGGGGAGGGGCATATGAGACAAACTCGGCTTGGCTGTTTTTTCAACAAAATAGCTGTTAGGCTAGACTCAACTTAGCCGCCCTCGTAAACCGGCCTAGCCGGTTTTTCATGCATGGCCCAAAAATAGCACCTCACTCTCACATTCTCAAGCTTACTCACATGGGTTAACTTGAGTAAAACTCAACGACGTATCCCTCTTAATAGTGTGGCATACATATACTCAAGAAATAAAGATGGCAACCTTTAAACCACTTCTTGAGCCTTCTTCAAACCTTTGCTTGCCACATTGATCATGTATACTTGAGGGTCTTCATAACCTCCTTGATAGTGTGATCACAAATTCTAGCCTTGGTGTTGGTCTAGGCCTGGGCCTTCAAACTCTGGTTGTTGTCAAGCAGACGTAAACCCACAAAAAGTACACAGCGAAGTACAAACAGGATAAGTAAATCACTGGACCCTCAATTTCATTATTCATCATCCTTTACAATGCCCTCTCGGGGCCTTATTTATACATACCCATAGGCTTTTAATAGACCGGAATACCCTTACACCTGCCCTAGATTCGCAACATATTCTCGCCATCCCAAGATGACTTGATCCGGAGGCAGCACCTCCCGCGGTTGCCGCCATCCTCTGTCCACGCCTGCCCCCCGACCAAGAGTGAGGAGGGACCAGCCAGGCTAGTCCTTCCTTTGCCTCCCGCCAGATAGCGTTTTTGACTCCTGCCTGCCATCTGTCATTTTGCCCTCCTCTGTCTCCACTATTTCGCCACGATGAAATCTAGGAGCCCACCTATAAATGCAACGTAGACATAATCGACGAAAAGAGGGCTATGGTGGCGAAAATGATGGGTGCTGTCTGATGCCATGGTGCGGCTTGACTATTGCCCGCCACTCATGACGCGTTCTTCATTTCACCCCTTGGCGTACTGGTAATCCTCTGCCCAGGTGAAAGGTGCACTCAATTGGCCACGAAGACGGCGGAGGGTGAAGAGGGGGTGCCGAATGGGTGTATCTCCCCCCACCCAAAAAAATAGCCCCTCAGCAACGTCCCATTGGCTTGCTTGGGTCGCTACCGTCATTTCACCTGTTTGCAGGCCCTGACGCCGTCCCGTCGAAGTGCGAAGTGTTAAGGTTGGATTAATTTTATTATTTTTATTATATATATTTTCATTATTATATGTTTATTATTATAATTATTTTATATATATTATTATTTTTCTCTCTCTCTCTTTTGAAACGTCGCCTTGAAGGAGCGATGTGTCTTTTCGGTTTCTGTGCCGCGCGACCGTTTGCGATGGTTCCTCGTTCTGTTCGCCTACTTTGTGCCATTGCGTCGCTTGGCGCTCCTGGCCAAGTATAAATAGCACCCATGGGGTGAGTTTGCGGGCACCCCTTGCTCATTTGTGCCTGGAGCTTTCCACATGTCTTGCTACGTTACTTCCCTCGTGCCTTCTGGTGCCTTCGCTTCTGACGCTTCGCATCTCGGCTTCGGCTGTTCGCTCCTTAAGGTAAGGATATTGCTTTCACACTCTCCCTTTTTTTGTTTCTTTATGTTATCTTGTTTTTCGCGTTCGTGATTTTGCCGCGTCTATAGATGTATTTAGGAGTAGAATCTTGGTCTAGCGGGAGAGCTCGTCTGGTGATACTAGTTCGGAAACTAGAACTCATTCAACTGAACATGGGAGCACGTCGAAGTCTATTTCTCTGGAGCGTGGGGATGATTCGAAATTAGCTCCACAAGGGCAAGCGAGTGGATCGATATCCATACCCCAAAACCAGACTCCTCTTCTCCTAGTAGCTCAGGGAGCTCTAGTGACAGTGCAGCTAAAACATCAGAGTGTTCGGCGGAATCGGGATCTGTGGGATCTGGTGCGGCAAAGAAGGTTATGGTTTCGACCTTTCGCATTGGGCATTCTCGAGTGAGTAACGAGGTGCTTCAGGAGTATGTTCGCCAAGGACCGCTAAACTCTGAGTTCTCGATGAATTTCCGTGCACCCAGGAACGAAGAGGTCCCACAACCCAAACCATATGAGGTGGTTGTTTTTAGGGATTATTTTGTCACTTAGCTTTGCTTCCCGTGCGAAACATTTCTTGGTGGAGTGCTTGAACGTTTTAAGGTCCAAGTGCACACATGACCCCTAATGCCTGCGCCCTCGGAATTTTTGTGATGGCACTCAACATGATGGGCTGCGAACTGAATGTAGATACATTTATTAGATAATCTACTGCTACCTTATGTGAACATAGTAAGGAAAAGCGGCACCGAAAGGCCCCCTGCTGTGATACTGTAGCCGCTGCAGGTGCAGACGCCGCACGGCTCACCTGCAGCACTGTAGGCACATGCAGAGGCCGGTGCAGAGTCAGCCCTGTATGTTATCTAGTCACTGTTGCAGCAGGGCAGCTGTACTGAGACTAGATGGATAGAGTTGTATAAATAGACTACCACGGCAACTCAGTAAAGAGAGTTCAGATTTGCCATCTCTCATACATGGCTTCGGTCAACGTTGGTATCTTGTACTGTGTGTGTATGCTCTGTTCTCTCTTCTTCTAGCTCTAGCCATAGTGTGTGGGGATGGACAACGCTTGTTCGTGGTCGGCACGGCTAGTGGGTGCTCGGCAACACTAGCGGGTGCTCGGCAAGACTGGTGAGTGGTTCACTCACCTGAGCCGGTGATTCTGTGGGCCAACAAGTGGTATTAGAGCCGTACAAGCGCCGTCATCAGACTAACCGCTGGCGATGACGAGTGGTTCGGAGATGGGCGACAGCAGTGGCTGCCCAGCCATGATCGGAGGTCGTTGTTCGCACGGTGCAGGAGGTCAGCGGCACTAGTTGGCCGACGCTGACTCGCACCAACTATGGAGAGTGGTTGGTGACCATGAAGGTCAAGTTCAGAGCCCGACGGCTCTGGAATGCTGTTGATAAGGGCACCGATAATAAGGAAGATGATATGTCAGCGTTGGAGGCTATCCTCGCTGCTGTACCGGTGGAGTATAGGGAGCCGTTGGGGGCGAAGAGCTCGGCTAAGGAGGTGTGGGAGGCTATTGCGGCGATGCGCGTCGGTTCCGACTGCGCAAAGAAGGCGACGGTCCAACTTCTGAAGCAGGAGTACGCCAACCTCAAGTTCAAGGATAGTGAAACGGTGGAGAACTTGAAATGTCATAATATGGCTAGAGGGGGGTGAATAGCCTATTTAAAATTCTACAAATCAACTAAAGTAATTTGATTAGTATGACAAATAGCGTAATGCAAACTTGCTCTAGCTCTACAAGGGTTGCAAGCCACCTATCCAACAATTCTAGTTTCAATGATTACTTGGGCACACAAACTTGCTATATAACTACTCACTAAGAGCTCGCAATCTTGCTACTCTAAAGAGCTCCACTAAATGAATGTAAATGATAAAGCAAGCTCTCAATTCTAATTACTCTAAAGAGCTTGTATCAACTAGCTTGCAAAAATGTAAATAAGTGAGTATGGTGATTATACCGTCGTGTAGGGGATGAACCAATCACAAGATGAATATATAGCCAATCACCGGGAGAATGCCAAAGACAAGAGACAATCGATTTTCTCCCGAGGTTCACGTGCTTGCCAACACGCTACGTCCCCGTTGTGTCGACCAACACTTGGCAGTTCGGCGGCTAAGAGGTGTTTCACAAACCTCGTCCACACGATAGGACACAGTAAGAACCAACCCACAAGTGAAGTAACTCAATGACACGAGCAATTTACTAGAGTTACCTTTCGGCACTCCACCGGGGAAGGTACAATTCCCCTTACAATCACCGAAGATGGCCACGAACAATCACCAACTCGTGCCAATCCTCCACTGCTGCTCCAACCGTCTAGGTGGTGGCAACCACCAAGAGTAACAAGCGAAATCCGCAGCGAAACACGAACACCAAGTGCCTCTAGATGCAAACACTCAAGCAAAGCACTTGGATTC